TATTCATGCTAGTTGATAAGACAACCCTTAATGCCAAAATAATGGAGCTGTTGATTTCCCTTTGTTTTGTTCTTTTATCATTGGCTTGGTAAATAGATAAGTTGTTGAGGTTGGGCAATAAAAACAAATATGGATTAATCAGTTTCTAGTAAACAAATTTTTATCACATATGTCCAGGTTACAATTAAATTATATATATGAAATGAAAATATTTTTTGTTATCCTAGGACTGTTGCCCCTTTAGAACAAGTTATAGATACAGAGAAAATGCCTATGTGGCCATATATTAAATGAAATATTTACAAAATAATATCTAATTAAAATAAAAATCTAGGAAGAAAATAACATATGGATATATATAGAATAAACAGGAAAATAAAATAACATAAGTAAATAAAATAGTTTATGGGGGGGACTTGAGAAGTTCTCTTACGTAAATTTCATGATCAATCGGGTTGGGAAAGGAGTAGGTGCTTAAAAAGGAGAGATTTAAATGAGGAAACTGATTGTGCGTGTTGGAGGAAGGGGGGGATAGTATTCCAAAAGGAGACTAGTTGATTTACAAAGGATTTGTCAAACTCAGCAATTCGGTGATGATGAGGATAGATGTTGGAAGTATGGGATTATATAGGAGGGTCGATGAGTTCTGATGGCTTGGTATAGAAAGGAAGTACAGACAATGGTGGGATGAATAGAGCCACTTCAACTTGGTGTAATACTGGGTTATATGCCTATCTCTTGAGATTCTGGAAATAAAACGTATTGAGAAATTCATTAGGCATTTAAGTTAGGCTTTGGATTTTCCCGAGAATCCACTGACACCAGGCAGCCATAGTCAAAGTATGGGAACACAAGAGAGGAAAACAGGTGATGATGGGATTTATATGAAAGGAGATAGCGTAGACGGTTGAACTGTTTCAGGGTAGAGATAGTATTGCAGGAAATTTGGGAGAGGTGTAGTTTCAAACAAAGGGTTTGATCAAAGAAAACACCAAGGTTTTTTATGAAATGAGATAAGTGAATTGTTCAGAAGATTAGAAAGTGTCGGTAAGGATTTGAGGAGTGGAGGAGATCCGGTCAGAATGGGTTTTATCTTCTTGTAATTTAGAGTGATCCTATTGTGTTTTGCTCAAGCACAAATTCCATTTATATCTTCCTGTAATTTTTGGATTGTACCAGAGGATTTAGTCTGATTGAAGGAGAGCTAAATGTGGGTGTTGTCAAACAATACAGATAGTATTGAAAGTGTAGGACAGAGGGTGGGAGATAAGGAGGAGCCTTGTGGGACACCTTTGGACAAGGGTAAAGATTCTTATGGAGGTTATTAGGGACTACAACATACTGTTAGTGATTGGTGATATATCGCATATTCTGCTTAGTTCCGTCCCAGTGCCAGAGGGAGGGGGAGGAGGAGAACTTTTTACTCTGGCATTAATCAACTGCCCCAGAAAAACTCCTTATAGCCTAAAAGGCAAGGAAGGGGAGAAAAAAGAAGTGCATTTAAATAGTTTCATGTTTCTTGAAGATTCTTTCATTTATGAGTTAAAAAATTTTATCTTACTGATCTTTTTTTCAAAATTGGTTTCTTTTTATTTTTTTAAAGGAAATATACAAATCAGAAAAAGTATCTAATCTAAATTAGTAGATGACACGAGGATAGAAAATGAAAATTTATTTAATTATAGTAATAATAAATAAGTTTTGAGTTCAATAAATATTTGAAGATTTTATTCAACATGGAGATAAAAACTGTGATTCCAAACCTGCAGTAAATATTGTTGTAGCTTGATAAATCATACCTACTTTTAAAATTAAATAATCAACATTCTGTATTTTGTATTGTAAATAAGAATACAATTCTGTTATTAATTAGTTTAAAAATATAAATACAATATAGTTTAGTCTATTTGGTTTTAGGTCTAAATGCCTTCTATATTAAATATAATAAATAATTAATATTTCTCTTTAATATAAATAAAGGAATAATACTTTTTAAAGTATTATTAGCAACATTTTATTTTATTCCACAATACAAACAAACCACATATTATAAAAATAATCCAAGATCTTGATCATCAACTCTCCATTTATATATTTATTATTTGTTTAAAGTTATTGTTTGAATTTCAGTTCCTGGGATACAGTAATAAAGCATGATTTTTTGCTCCAATACTATTTATTATTTGAAATACAGATCTCTTTATACATAAAGAGTTCTACAAGACCCATCCATCTACTATGGAATGCTCAAATTTATTTTTTCCCTCTGTCTGCTGATGCAGATTTGGATAAATTTGTCCCAGAATTATATCTTCTGATTTGGTAGTAGGTGTTTCAGTTGTTTCTAACTTTGTTGTTGTAGTTGTTATTTGTTCTAGATCACTTTTTTCTTTTAAAGATACTAATTTTTTTTTTGATTCATACTTCTGAAATGATAGAATTAAATTCTTCAGAGTCGATTTTCCTTTCGGCTTGTTGAAAATCTGCCATGGGTCTAGTTTTGGTTCAATGAGATTTTCATTTTCCTCCAAATTAGTATTTTCAAAATAAAGTTTACCGCCGCTCGCACCAACGAATACTGCTGCAAACAGCTGTTCAAAATAAAATAATAATTATGTTACTTGTATTGGTCAAATATACATGTAATCAAATAGGTTAAAGTTTAGTTAGCCATTTAGTTTTTGTTTTCATTGATTTAGTTTAATTTAGAATAATCCATTTATTAAAGATAACTCTTGTTAAACCAATAAATTGTCAAATTTTTACAAAAAGTATCTTAGCAGCCTTTTGATACAACTGAACTTTTAAGAACAAATTTGTGAATTTTAATCATGTTTATCAGCGCAAAATTTTATTAAGCATGACAAAACAACACCAACAGTTACACATAGTTTTAATTCCACAGAGGAAATTTATAAAATTACTTGGTCATCTAATTTTATAAAATGTTATGACTTTCTGCAATTAACCAACAAATTATATATCACAATCTCAGTGTAATAGTGAGACAACTAAGGAATATCAAGTTTTTGGAAAATAAAACTTGAATTTTTAATCTATTTTTTACTGGAATTATTAATAAAAGAGTTTTGTAAATGTTATTTTATTGTTTTATAGTTCTCTCAAAATGTTAATTATAAAGGAATTTCTTTTTAAAAAAATTAAACATGAAATGAGTCGTCTCCCAATGTTGCACTGAATTAGTGATATGTAATTATATAAATCAGAGGTTGAACATTTTTAAAAAGTTCTGTTTCGATAGACTTTAAAAAGAAAATTTTGTAAAGAAGTTCTGAGTTTTCTGTAACAGTTTAATTCTTTAGGGTCTTAAAAAGTTATTTAAAATGAGGTATAATTATCTTGAATGAATTGCCTGATTCCTATATTAAAGATCAACATGACAATTGCCAGTTTTAAAGTTTACTTGTTGGCTAAATGAATTGTTTTCACTGAACTTTTAAGTAGAAGTTTTTTTATATAAAAAGTTCTAGTTCCAAAATAAGAAAACTAATCCAGTCGTACTGGAACTGATAAAAGATGAAAGTTTTCTTATCATTTCAAATCCTGATTTAAACAGATAGTATCTTTGACAGCATGTGTGTTTAAAAATTAAAGGTCATTCAGGGTTACTGCATCATTGGTGCATAAAATGCACTGTTACTTTCTTATAATATTTCTTATCTGTTGCATCACCTTTAAAGATTCGGTAACAGTGCCTTTATTAGTTAATGATGATAATTTTTGAGCATGAATTGTAAAGGCAAGACTTAATTTAAAATGTAAATAACTTATTCCTGTTAATCTAAAAGATTAATATTTTGTTTGACTTTATTTGGAAAATTAAATTTCAAACAATAGTATTTCCTTGTTAATTTTCAATAATGTCAGTATTTTTATTCGATAGAAAAAAAAAAAGTTTGATAAAACCTACACGTCTTTTCATATCCTGTATTTTTTTTTTTTAAATTAAAATATTAAACTATATTTTAAGTATCATGATTTTTGTAGAACCTGTGATTTGGTTAAATTTAAGGGTAGTTTAAACAATAAACTTTTTATTATTGAGCAGAAGAGAGAGAGAGAGGTTAAACCATTATAACTAATTAATATTGATAACTCACCAGTATGGCAGGTGTCATTGCCATAACTTCTGGAGCGGCTACCCTTGTATATGTAATGAGGAGACACAGTTATCAACTGGAGACTACAGACCAGGAGAGTTTAAGAATGGCAGGGGGATTGGTTTGTAGTTCACCTTGCACTAGTAGGAAGTGGACACTTCCCCAATAGCCCTTCCACTCTTAAGTGGTCGTCACCCACAAAATAAGGATTCCATTCAGAAGCTCATTATCAGTCAATGTCATCAGTCTCCCGGTTCACGTTAGTATAATAACTCTCAGTTTTCATTTTACATTTAAAAAAATGAAGCGGGAGGTATTTAAATTCATTTATTTCTTATCTAATCTTTGGTAGGAAAAAATTGTTTAGAATTAATAGCATAAAAAATATTTTCATATTTTAAATATTGAATCTGATTAGTAAGGTAAGTTTTGTACTTTCATTAATCTTTTCAAAATTATATTTTTACCTGTTATAACCTTTTTGTATAATTGTATTTTTATTGTTTCACCAAAATAATCTACTTATATTGTTGAATTTGTTATAAATAAAAATAATTTATTTTTATTATTTAATTTTAATCAGTAAATCCTTCCCTCTCCCCCACCCTCCTCAATAAAAATAAAATAGGGAATTGTAAAAGAAAACGCACATTTCATTTCTACAATATTTTTTTTTTAAAAAGAACTTTATTATATAAATTTTCTAACACTCAATGCAATATGTAAACTGAGTATTTAAATAAAAAGAAAAAGCCAACAAAATACACCAAATTAAAAGAATGTTTTTTTGTTGTTTTTTAAACTACATAAAATAAATATTTCTATGCGTATATATAAATAAATATACACACATATATAAATGTATGAATATAACAGCAATAAAGATTTATGTGTAATGAATATCACAATATACTTATTATTTAAATATATATATTATATGTTCTGGTTGATTTATTTAAGTTAATCTAAAAAAATTTTTCTACACAAATAAAAAGTCACTCTTTTGAAAACTGTTGGAAATATATACACTTTCATAGTTTTAAAAAAAGTTATTAAGGATTAGTTGTTTTTTATTTTGATAAAGCACTAATAGCAGCCAACAGAAAACTTCTCAATCAAATGTTAGAATAGAAAGGAAAAAAAAAACGATGAATGTCCACCCTAAAAATTTTTAAACAAATAATAATTTTTTTAGTATATTTTTTTTTAAATCCCGACAGGAAGAGGTAAGTATTAATTGTATCTTGTGCTTTCGAATATAGCTAACTAGTTCTACAGTTGTATGTGGTTGAGCCTTGCGAGTTCGATGTCACCATATTCATAAGCACCATGTCAAACGGATCAGCTCTCATCCTCAGCTGGTTTGTACTTGCAACTTCATCTTTCTCCTTTATCTCCTGATCGTTTTCATGCCCGTCCTGCAAGTTTACAAACTCACAATCAAGCCATGCATAAAATACCAAGTAATTTCAAAACAAATAAGTTTAAAGGCAACAAATATTCTAACCTCTATTCATATTTTTATCTGAAATACGTATTTCAACAATTATCTATTACTAGAAAACATAATCGATCATAAACTGAGTAGAGGAATTAAAATATCTTTTATTAAGAATTCTAATAAATCTGGATGAATAATAAGGAATATGATAAATTAATAAAACCTTGAGTCTAATAAATACAATTCCTAATATGCAATCATTTTAGACAAGTTATTTCTTTGTAATGAAAAAAAAATTATTAGATATTTGTATAAATAGTAATAAAAAATATTTCTTAGCCTACAATTAATAAAAATTTAATTCATAACATTTTAATTTGTTTATCATATTACTATTTCTGTTAAAAAAAATAAATAAAAAAATTATTTCATCTAAATATTCATAGATATTTATTTTGGGGAGAATAATAACAATTAATTGTAATGAAAAATATGTTCATTAAAAATTATAATGTCATGTAAGCTGCTCTATAAAACAACATACAAACAAATTTCTTAAGTGAAAGTTATGCCTAAACCTCATACTACATATAAAAAAGGCAGTTCACAACATTGCCCATAACAATCTATTTCTTAAAAAAAAAAAAAAGTGTCAGATTTTAATAGCCAAGGTGATTGAACTGTAACAATCAGTAAGAAGAAGTTTCACTCTTGAATATTTTGTTTGGGCAAGGTCAATTCCCCTAGCCACTTTCTAAACTGTTTGTTGAGTAGCATCTTTAAGTAATTTCTCAACAACCCCATTGTGTAATACATCTCGATGAAATCTTTTTTAGCAACAAGCAATGCCTACTTAATCTAGGTTAACTAAACACCTATACAGGTACTGATGCAACAGGTCTTGCACAGATAAATATGTAAATTACAATTATATCTCCTAATAACACTTGGAAAACTATAGTCAACAAGCATATGTATTGGTAAATAAGTGCATTTAAGCCCAAAATAGGGGAATTATTCATACTAACCTCAGGTCTAGGACTCCAAAGTCGAACGACATGCTCAATCCCAGAAGTTGCCAACATACAATACGTAGGATGAGGTTGAAGACAGTTTACTATTGATGAATCTCCTCTTAGAATCCGAATGCTATTTGTAGTTTTACGGTCCCAGATAAATATAGAACCATCGTCGGAACCAGCAATGATGTACTGTCCATCACTGAAACATAATTAGTTGATAGAACAAATTATTTTTCCTTAAAAATATTAATTTATCAAATGAAGGTTTAATTAATTTATACTTTTAATAAAAGTTAAAAAGAACTGACTTCAAGATCAAATCGACAGAGAGGTTTTAATAAGAACAATGCTTTAAAAAAAAAGTAACAACAGCACTATGCAAATGAAATTACAAGCATGAAATCTAGTGCAATAATTTCTGGAGAAACATCATTTAATATTTTATTTTTGTTTTTGTAGAAAATATTTAAGAATCAATTCATTGTCATGAGGTGCTAATACCGCTTATGTTTATACAAAGATGTAATAGTTTTAATTTTTTATTTTCAAATGTTCTTGTTGATGTAAGAATTAATTAAAAAATACATTGATTTTTTTTGTATTTTAACAATTTAAAAAATCTTAATATGTTATTATTGATTCAAATTATCTGGTATCATGGTATATGTATATATATATATATATATATATATACTATTTCTGAATAAGTATTGTATTTCAACATTTTAAATTGATTGATATAATATTTTAAGAGTTAATACCTGTGTTATGGTGGAAATAAATTTTTATATTATGTTCTGCTTTTTTTTATAATTTGAGAAATTTTTAACAGTTTCAAATTAATAAAAAAATTCAAATTAGAAGATATTTTAAATATACGAAAAAGAAATAATTAAAATTGTTTCATGACAATTGTCGCTTATTACTATAAATCTGTGATAATTAATACAAAATTAATTAATTTTTTTTATTAATATGGAGGGAGGTATTTGACAAAACCCAAAATCCATTGGTTGATGCAAAATGTTATCAGATAGATGAAAAAAAATTTAAGTATGGAGTTCTAACTGCTTTTTAACATAAGAATGCTTAGAAAAACTTGGAACTAATTTTTCAATACATGTGGAAAATTACTGATAGATAAAATCTTATTGTAACTCAAAATGAATATTTAAAATTATCTTCAAGGTAAAAGCAAAACCAATTCTATTTAAATTAAAAAAAAAAAAATATCAGGTAAAAACCATTCCATATGACAACCTGAGATTCATCAAATGGCCAGAATAATGCTTCAGTAAGAAATAGCCCTCCAAGGGATGCAATAAATCTGTACAATAATAGAATATCTAATAATAATTTTTGCTGAAGACTTAGATACATAACTAAATTACATTATGATTTACATAATAAAAAAAAAATGTTTAGTTGATGCAATAAAAAGGAAATGAAGAATTAACCAACAAGCTGAAATGGCGGCATAAAAAGAACTGAAGTATTGAAATAAAATTTTCTTCATTAAATGTAACTAAATTTATAAGGATTGTACCATTTTATACACTGGGGATTACTTGAATTTGTTTATTATGATCTTATTGTTCATATGACCATTTATATTTTTTTATAACTCATAATTTTTAATATTCTCAAATTATTAATTAATATTTAGTTTTTTCAAACCATTATATTAACAGAATGATATTGGAGCAGAATTCGAAAAGCGGATTACGGCAGCTAATCGCTGATATTTTGCTCTGCAAAAGCATATGAGAGCTGGTTTCCTCTCCAAAACCTCAAAAGTCAGGCTGTACAAGACTCTCATCTGGCCAGTTCTCACAAATGCTTCAGAAAACTGGACCCTCACCCAAGCACACAAATTCTCTCTTCTGAGATTTGAAAGAAGAGTTCTGAGGAGGATATATATGATCCAGTTATAGTTAATGGAGAATGGAGACACCGTTCCAACAATGAACTGAGGCTGCTTTATAAGGAATTCGCTGTAGTACAGTTTATAAAGCTAAGGAGACTTAGATAGGCAGGACATGTGATTAGGATGGAGCAAGATGAAATCCCAGCTAAAATCATGAGGGAGCGAATTTTTAGTGTGAGAGCAGGTCAGCCACGACTTCCGTGAGAGGATTGCATAGCTTTAGATGCTTGGACCGTATTGGATATCCGCAGTAGGAGGACAGCAGCCCTTGACAGATAAATCTGGCGGTCGATAATCGAGCAGGCCAAGACTCGACTTCAAGGGTCGCAGTGCCAGATATAATAATATTAACAGAATACCTGAGTTGGTCAGATCAGTGTCACCAAAGAACTCCGATTCAAACATATGTTGTATCTTTTAAATTGTATTACTCAGATATTTTTTAATTGAACTACTTGATAACACATTATACTTTTTTATTTTTACATTTTATCAGAAACACGTATAGTTTAATTAAAACTTCAGTTAATGTTTTCTTAGCACAGGAATAATAATCAGACTGAATATACATTAGTACCGGCATTCTCTGAGATGTCCCTGGTTAAAAGAAAAGGTTGACAAAAACTGTGAAGAGGAAGATTTATTATTCGAATCATAAAGAAAAAAATCATTATGGTTACTGCTCTGATATGAAACAATATTTTCAATGTTTACCATGTTCATTTTTCTGATACATAGTTGTATTAAGAAACAGACAGAGAAACCGACTGCCAATAAATTTGTAATATCCAATAAATATTTGTATAGGAGTCTGGAGTGTCTGAAACGTACAGATCTTTTAGAAACTGGATACCAAATATTTGACCCTATCGCAACACCTCCGTCTTACCTCTATTGGCAGTATGGAAAGTAAAAATGTACTAGTATCTTACTAAGTACAAATAAACAATGAATCAATCTTCCATTAAGCTTATTAAATGAAAAGTATCAGCAGCAGTACCTGCCAAAAAAGTTGGCTTCTTTAATATCAGTTGTAGTATTACAATGACCATAAAATCGGAGAACATAATCTTTGGCAGCTTCTCTCCACAGCATTTCTTTGGCACTGATATCTGCCAGCTCTTCAGTTCGTACCGTAGGAGAATTATCATTATCCTCTATTCCTAAAAAAAATAGAAATGAATAAATAGGAAATCGATAAAACTAATTGTTTTAACTAGTAAAAAAAATAAAAATTAACCTTCATTCTTTAATTTGTTTTTGATGTCTTTTTCCAAAGCAGCACAAGCTACACTTTTAGCATGAGATGGGAACTTCTCTTTAAAATTGTTTAATGACGCCAAAGCTTCTTCATACCATGACAGCTCATACAAACATCTTGTTAATCTAAATGAAAACAAATTGTAGTGGATCTCATTTTTCAAATTACAATCTATGATATTAAATTACAAACTATGTTTCAAATTGCAAACAGTCACTAAGTACATTTTTTATGGAGCTGAGCTGAAGTAAGTGCACAAAAATGATACAATCCCTTTAATATATCAAATATATTAGAGGGACCGGAAAGTAATTTCATTTATTCATTTGTCACTATTTGATTGTCATTTATCAGCTCGTTGTGTACATCTAAATCATGGCGAAGACATTCAAAGGTTATGGTGATTTTTATAGCTGTGAATAATTAAATTAAATTTTTTTTTTGCAATTTTGGATGAAATGGCCAGCTAAATACCAGAAGAGGTAGGCAGACCTTTACTGTGAACAATTGGATCGTGTAAATGAATCTTTAATTGAAAAGTTGCCAGCGATTATCAAAAGAAAAGGTTTTATTTCGCAACATGATAATACAAGACCGCAATGAGCAAGACAAACCCTGGAAAAAATTAATGAATTTGGTTGTTCATAATGGGGATGAATACATCATTGATTAAAAATAAAAACTCCTTACATTTATGTGTGTGAATTTAATGTAAGAAAATGCCACTACTTTCCGGTCCTTCTAATAAACTATTGTGAGTTGTAACAAAACACATGCACAATTTTATGACTTCAAAAGTGAAAAATTCATCAAAGTTCTTAGTGATTGCAAGAGGGAGTAAGTTAGCTCAGTGGTAGGGCAATGATCTTCCAATATTCAAAGTCCCAGGTTCGAATCCTAGCTTGTGGCAGATAAATTATTTATTCTGTTTCATAGGCTGTGGATCGACCCTGGGATCGGGAGACCCTCATGGGGCACACCCAGACTCCTCTATAAAGTGGGTACCCTTAATTGAATAATTGATTAAGAGGGAAAACCTAGCAGTTGAGTGTAATCTCAGTCAAATCACCTCCTTGCACAAGAAACACTACCTTCCCTACATAGTACTGAACCCAAGACTCTTCATGAGTTGTAATGGTACTTTTTTTTTTTCTTAATCATTGAAGGTTATGAAATGTCACCTAATGACTTTTTCAATAAACCCATGATAAATTACAAATATAGGCAATAAAATCTAATCAATTTTATGAACATAGGTCAACTAAATCAAAAGCCATAAATTTTTATAATTATAAATGAATATAAATAGATATAACATTTAGAATTGTTAACATATTTGTTCAATACATAGTGATTTTACTCATATACCTGAAAAAAAATTGACAAACAAAAAATGTTATAAGGATAAATAAATAAGTGGAACTATGTTAACTTGTGACAAAAACAAAATAATGGTTATAAAAAAAATAAATCAAAACATTAAATTTGTTTTGTTTTTTCTACTTACCTAAAAAAAGCTTTTATATTATTTGGATCATAGCTTAAAGAAGTTAAGCAGTCTCTAAGTCCAGCATAAACATCACCAATCCTAACAGATATTTTATTTTACCAACAATGAAACTCATATAATATATTTAAGAAGTATTTGTAACAAAAACAAACATAATATTTATTTAAAAAAGAGAAATAGTACCAATCTCGCTTCATGTAGGCAGCAGCACGGTTGGAATAGATTACTGAACTATTAGGATATGATTCGATTGCTTGGTTGTAAATTCTTATTGATTTTGAATAAAGTTCTTTTTCAAATAAATTGTTCCCCTGAAACAAAAAATAATATAACCATTGCTATTTAAAGATAAAAAAAACACTAGTCCCTATATTCAAAGTATTAATTACAAATAATAATTAACGAAAAATTGTGATTTTTGAAACAAATTAATGAATATCATCTATCTTATCAGCAACAGATTACAGTACTCACTGCTAATTTTAATGCATTTATATGTTCAGGCAACTGGGCTTTAAGTTTCAAAGGCAATTCGTTATCAATTCGCATACCATTACAATATCCTTTCAAAGGTTCAGAAATTTCTGAAAAACAGAAACAGGAAAATTTAGAATAGAAAATCATTAATTATAAATAAAAATTAATTCGAAGGAAATCAATACCTTTGTTATCATTTGTCAGTTTAATTAGAAGACTCCTAGATTTTTTTGTGATATCAAAAAGATAAATTTGTTCACTGCCTAAATTCACCAGTAAGTCAGTCCCATTAGGACCAAAAGTAACATAAGTAGCGCTATACTGTCTCATTTCTCTTTCTGTAAGATCTCTACGACAAGGGATATGACCTAAAAAATAGAAAAATTAATTTCAGCAATATTATCTCTTTTGGTTTGGCATTGCCGGGCAATGCTTATATTACACAAAGCATAAGCCTGCTCGGCCATTCTGTCCGCTCTTAATAGACTATTCAATAAGTTAAATAAAGAAGAAGAACATGTTTATGTACTTCTGTTTTTTGTTCACAGAACCAAATAAACCATAATAAAAATAAAATAAGAATTGAATTAAGAAATATTAATACCTGGAACAAAATACTGCACACACCCTTGAGGGAGATTATCTTCTGACAAAGTTGACATCGTAAGTGGTCCCTGTGTTAATGCCAGGAAAAAAAATTAATAAACCAAATAAATGTAGACATTAATGTTACGAAATAATTTATTAAGTGATGTTCAGTTAATGCATAACACGATATTTGTTGATCAGTACTGAATTTTCACTCCTATAACTATACTTTGACATCTATTAACAATTCATTTTTTTACATCATCTTATTAAAAAAACTGTACCACTATAACCCATGGTGGGTGTTGCACCAGTGTTCAATCAGGGGTAGGTGCCTTTGCAGGTTGATGGACGCTGTTTCTGGATCTGAGTTAGAACATAGGATAGCAGTGTCATCATCGAAAGTTTCCAGGAGTATATCGGGATGGACGGGAATGTCAGAGGTATAGATGATGTATAGGATGGGACCCAAAAAGCTGCCTTGAGGAACTCCAGCCTCAATTGAGTAACAGTAGGAAAATTCTGTACCACAGCTGACTCGAAAGGAGCGTTCGGAGAGCTGGGACTGAAGTATTAAATATAAGGACTGTGGTAGGTGGGATTTGAGTTTGAAGAGCAGTTCGGCGTGTCATACCTGGTCAAAAGCTTGTGCTAGGTCCAGAAATGCACTCGAGCAAAACTGCTTGTTTTCTAGGGCTGAGGATATGTGGTCAACAACTCGGACCCCATGTTGGACGGTGGAATATTGAGAACGAAATCTGAATTGATGGGTAGGGGTTTTTCAGGAATCTATTATGGGTAGAATTCTTTTCAGTAGGATCTTTTCAAAAATTGTTGAAAGAATTGGAAGTAGGCTAATTGGTCTATAGGATAATATACTATTGGAAAGCTTGCCTGGTTTCAGGAAAAGGATGATGGTGGAATGTTTCCATAAGAGAGGGAAGTGGGTAGTTTGGAGGATACAATTGTATATATACGTTAGAAATATGATGGTTTTGGGTGGTAGTTGTCGAAGGATCTGTGGGGCTAGAAGGTCGTATCCAGGAAATTTACGAGGAGTTATTTTGCGTAATAGGAATTTGATCTCAGAGGGATTAACTGCTTTAAGTTGTAAAGAGAATGGGATAGGTGAAGAAAGGAATTCTTCTATTTTTACTGTGAGGGTGGGATGAGGTGTAAAGGAACAGGAAAGGTGTTTGGCAAATTCCTCGGCTTTGTCTACATCAGATGCTGCCCAGGTACCATCACCTCGACAAAGGGGATGGGAAATATGATGGGATTTTAGGATTTTTTTGGTGGTATTCTAGAGGGAATTATCAAGACCAGAGAGGCAGGTGAGGTAGGAGTTGAATGATCGGGATCTGAAGGTGGCTAATTCTTGTTTTAATTTTTAACATTACTGTAATTAAGTTTCCAAAATTATTTTGAAGAAAATAAAACTTACCTTCACAGGCTTTATCATTCTCCTGTCATATAATCTGATATACGGATCATTAACTCCGACTGCTATTAATTCAGATCTGATTGGATTGACTGATATACATTTTGCTTCGACATAATAATCTCCCATATAAGATCTCAAATCAATGAGAACATTTTTTTCATTCTTCATACAACTATGTTTAACCCTAAGGTCAAATTGCCTGAAATTATTCAAAGAAAAAAAATTTAATTTTCCTAAAAATATTTTTTAATAGTGTTCTGTTGGACAATGAAATTAAACTACAACACACACAAAAAAAAAAAAAAATACTAAATAGAAAAGTAAATTAAAATTCCTAAACTACAGAAATTGATACCCCAAATAACCAGTTCTAACATTATTTACAACAATACTTCGAGAAATTGATTATATACTTACAAAATGTTACCAATAGAAAAACTTGCTAATGCAAAATAAAGCACACAACCAAAAGAATAATTGATGGGCATTTAAAAAAAATATTTATTAGTAAGCCATATAAAGAAAACAATTAAATCTATAGTAATAATGTCAGCATTATTACAGCCAGTACATGCCTACTTTATGGCAGTAAAAGGAGCCTAGTGTGCTGAAATGTTGGTAAATAGAAAATCTTCATTGTGTATTTTATTTTTACAATATCCCAACCACCATTCCTCCTCTGCCTCGCTCCCACCTTCCCCTCCCCCACCCAAAAAAAACAAGTTTATAAAATAATAAAGCATTTATTCAGAGGACTTATGGCTGTTTCTTCATTAAAATCACTGAAATATAAATACATATATAAAAAGAATTTCTCTTTCAAGTCTTTAAGGAGGTAACCCACATTCAGAATCAAATTATTAAACTTATCTAGACATTGATTTTATGGTCATAAAAGGTTTATATATGAAAATTTAACAGACATATTCTTTAACTTTTAAAATCAATCAATGGTTCTAATACCTAACGATGCCATCTTCTGCTGCACTCCAAAATATTTCACGTTGGTCAGGTGCTGTAGCAAGACGCTTGACCCGACTTGCATGACAAACACAAACTCTTGTAGTTTCTTTACAAACAAGGTTATGAACTCGCACCTCATAATCACCAGCTCCTGTTACTATAGTATTGTCATTCGTTTCAGGCATATACTGTAATAAAAAAAAAAATGGCTAGAAATCATAAGTCTGAATTTAAATTTTCAAAAATATAGTAAATGACACATTGTTGCCATTGATTTATAAAAATAATAAATGATTAATTTACTAACTTGAATAACTATTAATAGTCAACAAAGAAGAAAACTGTATCTACAAATCTATTATATTTAGAAATGATAAAAATGAAATCATTCAGCAAGAATTGATGGACCGATTAATTTCAACATAAATAATAAATTTTAGAGAACAGTGAAATTTCTGACAATTTTGTTGCATCCTCATAAAAAATAAACACTAATTGGGAATTCACAAACTTCATAGTAAACATCGAAAATTTAATCTTCTAAAGCTAAATAGACTTCTCATTCTAATACATTTACTTATAAGAGTCCAACCCTCCTTCTTGTTAAAGAGGGTCTTTAAAAATATAGGTTAAATATAAATGCAATGGGGAAGTTTGTATTATATTTAATCAATGATAAGGAATTAAAATAACACAAAGTCCCAAAAGTTAATGTTCAAAAACATTAATGAGAACACTGACAGGAGTTAGAGTAAGGAGCAATACCATAACTGTATAAACATTAAATTAGTAATCTACAATTAAGAGCATACTTCATTTCAATTCAATACAAAAATGATAAGGACAATTAAATAATAAATCAAACAATCTCTATTTAAATAAACATTGTTTACACCAAGCTTTGTTTTACATTAGAGAAATTTGTCAATGCTAAAGAATTTTATAACTCAGTAACTTGATCAGTCGTTCACTAAAGATTTCAACCTTTATCAAATAATATTTGGACTATTAGTCAACAGAATATGACTGTTATTAACTCTTCTAGCAACATTAATAAAAACATCAAGTCAATTAAATTACATGATAACAATACCTACTAAAATACATAATAGAAATCAAGAAAAACTTGCTATGGAATGTTATGGTGTAACAAACTAAAAAAAAAGTGGAATAATTAGTTCAAAACTTAAAAATAAAAATCTATTAATGATGACAGGCAGGATTAACACTTATTTTAATCATAATATGCCGCCAATACTATAACTGGAATGAACATCATTAGTAGATCTAATCATTACATTTTGAAAGATTAAGTTCTAATTGAAACAAAAAGTGAGAAATACCTTGACAGAAAAGATATTTCCATGATGTCCAGTTGGAATAACCTGAACTTTCTTATATAAAAAAGGGTCCCAAATGATAACTTGGAAATCATCTGATGCAGATGCGAGATACCTAAACAATAAAAGAGTTATATCAACAGTTGTAGTTTGCCAAAATCGAATAGCAACTTAGAAAATGTTCAATTCATTTCAGTCCAGAATGACAATAAACTGCATACCTTCCTTTAGAATCCCATTCTAAACAGTTGACACAACCAGTGTGCCCTTCTAATTCTTTTTCTAGACCTAAACGATTTATAAGGTTCTCAGTAACATGAAGTCTCTTCTGCAGACCTCTACATGTTTGAGCCTAAAAACACCATTTATTGTCATCTTTAGGTAAATAGATTAAGGAATAAAAAAATAGCTGATGATAGTACAAAGAAAACAATATCAACATAAATCACTGAATACCTACATCTATTTCTCTTTTGGAAATAAATTTAACAACTGAGTTGTGCTGAGGCATATTACAGCTTCTTTAATTGTCACCATAATTGAAAATCACTTTTGCCATGTTAAATTAAATAACGTATTCGAAAAACTAATAGATGTAATGTATGCTTTTTAAAATATAAATTCATTGGTTTTAATCAACTGATTGTATTTGGATGAAATAAAAGAGAATTACATTGACAATTCACAATTTTTTTTTTAAGTCTAAACAGCTCTCTGAGAGCTAAAACATTTTCGTTAAATTGACGAATTTAAGACACAGAATTCCATTACTGTGACAGGTATCACAGAACACATTTGTCAAACAACAGCTGATTTCGAGATTTTGGTGTTGTTATGAAAGGTTAAAAAATAAATAAACTAAAATCGTAAAGAAGCATATCAATGCAATTGTCCATCGTATTAATATGTTTTATAATACTGATTTATCAAATAAAAATAAGTTAATTTCAAGAAATATAATATAATATCAATAGCGCCAAAAGTCGATAAATATGAATTTGATAGTTCAAATAATTACAACAAATAAGACAAAAACACTAAAAATACAGTTTAAAACTGACCCAGAATAGAGTAAAACCAATATTTAATATAATTAGGTAAAAATTTCTACTTATAAATGAGGAATAAGTAATATTGTAATTTATATAATGTATCTTTAAAACTACTGTTGAATTTACTAAAAAATATAGATAATAAATAGTTAATAAACATGAAAATGTAACCAATTAAAAAAAATACATATATAATTTGAAAATAATAGAATTCAGAACAAGATTTAGCGTTGGTTAAAGCATTATAAAACTTGTTTCAGAGAATATAGAAGTCTGAGGCCATACCTGAGCAATGGGAAGAAAATCTAATTATACCTGTATACAAGAAGGGAAAACCGAACTTATGTGAAAACTACAGGCCCATATGCCTTTCTTTGGTGGTATATAAGATGTTCACAAGGATCCTGCAGCAGCGGCTGAGAGCATGCGTTGAACATGAGATGGAAGAAGAACAAGCTGCTTTCTGGCCTTCAAGATAAACCCAGGACCACATTTTCTCTCAGAGTGGTTACGGAGAAAGCGTTGGACCGAGGACGAAATGTATATGTTACCGTTTTGGACCTCAAAGCGGCCTTTGAGTCGGTCCCCAGACAGAAGATTTGGGCTGCCTTGCAGGAGAAGCGGATACCACCGAACCTCATTACCGCCATCAAATCAGCTTAACAGGATCAAGGTTAGATTGAATGGAATGAAGTCTGCTCCATTCAGATTTTACATAGGGGTCAAGCAAGGAGATAGCCTCAGTCCACTTCTGTTTAACAATGTCATGGACGAGGTGTTGAAGGTATGCAAGCGAAAAACACCCAGAGCAATTGTTGGTTATTGGAATAAGCTGCCCGTCCAGGTCCAGTGCTTCGTCTATGCAGACGACATTGTGGTGATAGCAGACAATGTGAATTCTCAGAAAGTTGCAGTGTAGGAGTGGTCCGAGGAGCTTGAACCCTAGTAAGGGCAAGATTATACAGGTATTATGGGAGGAGGCGGTACTTATGATTGTGTATGAAGGACAGCAACTAGAGCAAGTTGATATTTATGAATATCTGGGAACTGTCTCCAGTCGGGCTAACCAAAGCTTCCATACCAGGTCTTCTTCCAGATTTCCAGAACAGTGGTGGGCAAGCAAGAGGTAAGCAAAGAGGCGAAGCTTCTCATATTTAGATCTGTCTTCTTCCCGCTCTTGTTATATGGAGCTGGGAGCTTGGTACTCTTGGACAAGAATGCCTCACGAGTGATGTCAGCAGAGATGAGGTATCTCAGAAGAGTTGCTGGAAATACGAGACGAGATCGCGTGAGGAACAGGTCAATGATAGATACCTTTGGAGTTAGATATGTAAGGGATGTCATAGAGGAACGCTAGCTCAAGTGGTATGGTCATGTCTGTAGGATGGGGAACGAACATAGAGCTACGTGGCTGATGGAGGACAGTCTGAGGGACATCGACCGGTTGGACAAGAATTGAATAATAGTTGAAGAATAAGATTATAATTAAAATAATTGACCAAAAAAACAATAAGTGAAAGCCAGATACTATGATATTTTGAGGTCAGATTTGGGTGAGTCGTCAAAACAAGTAAAACTAGAACTAGATTCATAGCCTGGTAATTCTGGAAGTGGACTGACATCTGTATCATTGTAGTGGGTATGTAAGTTTTAATTGGTTAGGGAACGATAAACTTGAGGACAGTAGTCATAATCAAAGCAGACTCAGTTCCTAACTATACGTGGCTTATTTGTTGTTAGGTACTTTTGCAACTACAAATCTGTATATAAATTAAGGATTGAAAAGGCACAATGGATGACTAATCCCGAAAAACGAGGTAAAACACGTAAAAAATACTTTTAGAAAAATCGGCTATAGAACTTTTCGAAGGAAAGAATTATCAATTCGGTTGGAAGAAATTAATTATTACGTTATGATCATCCGACAAGAATAATAAAAAAAACAAAAAACACATCTAACATTTTTGACAAACTTATTTTCAATTAAAATTAATAATAAATATATTTTCTCAATATTTATTTTATTATTCACAAGTAGTGGCAACAGTGATGGGATCGCGAGTTAATAGAAACTTTTTGGGTGATAAAGAATAGTGGTAAAATCTTCTGTTCAATAAAATATGAGTAAGTAAATTAATCTATGCTTAAATTATTGATAATATCTACAAAAAATCATATTACTATTAAAGTAGAAAAAATCAAACACACAGAAGTACTAATTATAAACAATATTCTTAAAGATAATTTTTCAAGATAAAGTTATGTAAATGCTATTTTCAAACAAGTATAATTTTCCAAAAGTGGACAGGTAGAATCATGGACAATCATAGAATAATATTAAAAATACATGTTTAAAATGTCTTGAATCTGATGTATAAATTCATATTACTTATTGGTGTTATAATTATTTTCCAAGCCTTCACAACGATATTTTTTAATTTCTTCTAAGAATTTTTTAAATTGTCGAATAATTGATTTGGTTAAATTGATATTACTTGAACTGATAGTACTTAGAAATTTTACTTTTTCACTACTCTTGTTTCTGAAAGAGGCAGGTAAACATCAAAACTATAAAATTTATTTCATATTATTCAAAACACAAAATTAATTAATATGTGTAGTGGATTGATATTCCAATTCCAATGTACTGATAGTTTATATTTTTTTTAAAATCAGATTTTGCTAACTAAAGACAAGGGTGTACCAAACTTTCATGTTAGAGAGAGAGCAAACTGAATTAAGGAAAATCTCAGGGAGGTAAATGTCAGACTATAATATTATCTTAAGTAGTTTGTTGTTATTACAATTTATAAATATTTTTATATGAAACATAATATATACAAAGACATTTTTTTTTTTTTTTTTTTTTTTTTTTTTTTTTTTTTTTCTTACCCTCCAAAAAGTTTATTGAAACAAATTACATATATAGTATACAATAATACAATATAAACATGTAATAAATTCCTTCCACTGCCCGAGGGCATTTTAAGGATTGGGGATAGCTAAAGGTTACATATGTGGCAGAAGGCCTTGTGACTTTGACATTGAACGGGGGTACAAAGACAACAATTTATAAAAATTATTTTTTGTGGATTTTCAAACTATTTAGTTGGGATGGGCGATAGTCGATAGTTTTCCACTATCGATAGTTCGATAATATCGATAAAAACTATCGATTTTATCAATAGTTTAGTAACTTCCCAACCCAGACTTAAAGGGAATTTATTTTCGCTGTATTCTTTAGATATTTACTTTAAAATGCTACACAAGCTTTATAATAATTAACATTTATATTGGATACATTCTTAAACATTTATGTTAAGGCACTAATAAAAATTATTAAATAAATAATTTTAAAAATTATTAACGGGAGAATACATTTATTTTGAAAAATAAATTGCATTTATTTCCCAGATCATTGAATTCAAACAAGAAAGATCGACGAAATATAGGTAGTGTTGTTTTAACTATTTGGTTAAAAAAGGAGGCGAGAAATGTGTGTGTCTTTTAATTTCAAAGATTCTAAATTTAATTTGATAATAACATCTAGTTTAAAATATACTAAAACTGTAGTGGCATCTTCAGGGATCAATCCGAAATTAATAACCCCGTCGAAAATTGTCCTCTCAAAAATTCATAAACCGCTACTTGCGCTATGAAATCTCCTTCTGGGCACGCCTGCAGACTTTATAATTATATTTTTTTTAAATAAAAAAGGTGAGGTAAATGTAACATTTTTTTCCATCGGCACAGCTGGACTTGTAAAATTATTTCTAAGGAAGTAATTTAAGCTTGAATTATTTTTTACCTTGTAGGCTTCTTGATGTACAATTTAGTTTCAGTTTTATATACTCATAAGAATAGTTTTTAACACGCCTTCACACATCTATCCATTTATTTTCTTAATGTGGCGTTTCCTTTATCAAACATTTAACTTTTACATTGTTATATTATCACTATATCTCATATATCAATAAATAGGTATAATAATGAAGGTGTGTTATTAAAATTATTTCTTTAAATATATAAAATTGTAATATATATATATATATATATATATATATATATATATATATATATATATATATATATATATATATATATATATATTTAACGCCTCTTGACTTATTTGACTTCCGCCATTAATCTTCTAGCAGTATTGGAGCCGTTATAGGCGATAGCTGTGATCGTTTGGTTCTCTTAATAATCAAATACCGCTCTGGTTCTCTTAATCCACAGAGCACGTGATTTATAATAAAGCGATTCCCTCTTCATCAGGATGGTTGCCAACTTTTGCAGACAAGTCTATCCTGTTTTTTTACGGGATAGGATTATGAGTCCTGTGCCCTACTCCCAATCTGAAGGACCAAGGAGCTATGTTGTTAGACACAGGGGTCACTCACCTTCCTGTGATTCTCAGAGTGGGTATGTTACCGTCCCCATGCCTGGAATCGAACCTGCACAGTAGTGGTCTACCCTGCAAACAATCAAGTAAGGATTGCACTTATTTATTTTTATAATTTGTGTCTTAGGGGAAGATATGAACTATAGACTATCGCCCATCCTTATTTAGGAAGAGGACACGGTCTTCCCTGCTCTATCTCTTGCGTACGCGCGAGACTGAAGAGCTATATCAATATATGCTTCCACACACAGAATGTCCCGGCGATACGATATACTTTGTCGGTATCGCTATAGATTATCGCGCTCTCTGTAACTGGAATATCGTATTGCCGAGACATATCGCACCCTGCATATGGGAGGGAACTGGACTGATACTTTGTAAGAGTAGCTACAGAGCAGGATAAAAAATGCAACATGCTGATATCGATGTTTTTGTCATGTGTTCGAAAAACATATATCAACAAATCAGACTTATTGGCATATATGTTGGCCTAATAAAAGGCAACATTAGCGCCGGTACTTGTGAAATATGGAGGGAGCCAAGGTTAGAGAGATTTTCATATCTGCATAAAGTAGATCCATCGTTAGTTTATTGCATGTTTCAATTATTGATTGATAGTTTATTGAAATCTTTTGGGAGTTATTTTTTAAGTAATCGTGAAATATTGTTGCCAGTTAGACTCTCATTTCCTTCTTAAAATATTAGGAGAGGGAGCAGAAAATGTCTCCCCTTCAATAATTCTTAATACTGTAAAAATGTGACACCTGCAAAAGATGATAATCCGTAAAAATGAGCAGTATCAAAAAATGAAAACAACATATAACTGTGCTCCCTGATAAAATTGGATACCGCAACTTGCGTCATATTTTGGGCACATATGGTAGCACAAAGAAAAATCTGACCAAATTCGCGAATGACGGTGATCCATTATGAAAAAACCCACAGGGGCATGGGGCATGTTAATAATCCATACTTTCATCCATAATCACTATAGTTTAGTTGCCTTTCCAAAATTTTCAAATGGATTTAAATGAATAAGTGGAAATTAATAAAAGGCAACCAAAGTTCGCAGTTCTTTAACAACAGGAATTGGAAAATGTAAATTTAAAAAGTCCAATAGAATTGAGCTGGAATAAATTCATAAACCTTATGACCACTGTCTTAACTCCAATGTACTCAAATATCACCACAGAAGTTTGATAATTATTATTACAGGGCTCTCCCTCATGCATAAAATTCTGTATTCATCTTAGTTCAAAAATTGAACTTCTAACATACATTACCTTTTCCTTTGGGGCGGCCTTCTTCCTTCAACATGTTCAAACATGTGAATCAGCTCTTAACCCTACATCAATATTAACATAGATTTTGATAGCCTTATCTCACAACCCTTGCCTTGTCTATGACCTATATTCCTCAATTCCTTTATATACTTAAATCAAAATCAAAGTAATTTAGTCATAATAGTAAATTGCATTAAATTTAGGAAATAACTCAAGATTTCTTGTTCTTTTTATTTTCCATTTTCTAGTTTTGACCTTTTTTCTAAAATTATTTTTCATTTATTTTTTTTCCCTATAGGTCAGTAAAATAAATAATCATATTTAGTTTTCATTATTATTTATAGGTGTATAATAATAATAATCCATACTAAATGCGATTATTTACTATGCCGATCTGTAGGCAAAATAAATTAAAATTATTTTTATAATAAACTTATGAGACCTTGAATAATAAACCTGTGACATTCTTTTAAAAATATCATTTGTTTTTTTTTTTTTTTAAAATACCAACTTTTGGGGTTTATATTTTTTTTTTAAAATATAAACCCCAACTATTCTTCTCTTCATCATTTGTTTTTCATTTTATGTAAGTTTATTAGTCTTCATCACATTTTTCAGGATATATAACAATCCTTCATTATTCTCATTGTCATTTTACTGTTAAATTTTAAGTTATAAGTAATTCAAATATATCTCAAAATGTAAATAACTCAAATAAATAGAAAAATTATAATACCCTATTTTTATAATTGTATGATGATGTTGTAATATCTATAAATTATAAAAATTTATAATTTTAATATCCGAACAAAAACAAAACTTGATTTTTATATAAAAAATAAAAACACTGATCAACTTAGGATATCTGAAGAATTGATTGATATTTCCAAAGAAATACCCTGTTCACAAGGTTTAAAAAAAAATACATATTGAATATATTATTAATTAATTGTTCATGCATATTTGAAAAAAAAAAAAAATTGGGCTCAGGGAACCCACAGTAAACAAATAGAATACAAATTTAAAATTATTTTATTTTACCTCTTACCACACTTCCTTTATCTCTGGTGTATTTATTTAATTGATATAAGAATGATTAATGAAGACATTGAATTTGGTGTGGCAAAATGGAAAGGAAATATAATTTTTACTGCATCAATATAAATAAAAATTGAAATAATTGCAAAAAGCTCAATAGCTTGCCAGTACTATTGCTTGAATTGTAAAGAGTGTAGAAAATAAGGATGAATGTGGCAACGTAACATAATTCATTCATATATTTACGCTGATTACACTAGGGTATTTATTATCTGTCACACGTTCATAGCGCTTCCATGCTGAATCGCAAAGGTCATTGTCAGGTTTTAAATGATATTTAAGGAATATGAAACAGAGGCAATCCACAATTCTCAACAGGTACTTTGTTTTAAAAAAAATAAGTCTTATGCATTTAAAAAAATAATTTATTTTAACAATCATAAACTTATGAATACCTATACACCTTAACAAAACACTTTATTAGTATGTATGTATATATATATACACACACATAAGGAAGTAAAGAGCACTAAGCTTATCACACCTAACAATTATAGCTATTTAACACAACATTCTCTTCAACGAGCTGTTTCACTTACCAATTAAACATAGATTACAGTTTTTCACCAGAAGACCTTGGTTTCTTGGAAAAATAAATATATATAGTATTTTTTACTTCTACAATTACAATCAGAATTGTAAAAATTGAATTTTGAATAGAGTTTATAAATAGTTAAGACCAAAACAATCTTAACATACTTGTATCATGATGGCAGCAAGATGTTGTTAAAATAAACAACTATGATTTTTTTCATTCAGTTTCAGTGAGATGTAAATGTAAGCAATAATTTATGTAAAATTATCGACTCTTTCCTTCTGCCACCCACTCTCTAGGATTTTTTAATACTTCCATCATTTCAGCTTCTTTAGAACCCTCTTTAGGAATATGCATATAATACCATTTCTGTAAAAAAAAAAATGTATCATTAAAACAGAACACTTACCTATTATTTTTTTTGGACAATTACAAAAAAAAAATCCAATATCAATATTTTCTAAAAAGGAAAAAAAAAGAAAATTCTATTTCTAACGATTTAATAAGTGAGATCTTACTGCTGCTAACGGAAGTGACATTAATATGGATTCATAACGAGCACCAGGGGTGTACAAGCCAAACTTAGTTCCACGATCATAGATCAAATTGAACTCTACATAACGACCTCTCCTTATTAATTGCCATTCTCTTTCATGATAGCCATAGGGATCATCCTTATGTGCTCTTACTGTAAAAAAAGATCAGACTCATTATCTTAGTTAAATATTAACAATTAATCAAAAGAATTAATAAATAATTAAGATAAGAAAAGATTTTACACAATGGGACATAGGAGGGTACAACAGATTCTGCACAACCTTTAACAAAGCTAAATACTTTCTCCTCTGATGGTGTGTCTAAATCATCAAAAAATATTCCTCCAATACCTCTGCTTTCACCTAAAACAAAATATAAATGTTTAAATCCAATAATTCACAAACGTAATTTGATATATTAAAACATAATTATTTGATACCCACCCGACGATAATTTAATGATGTCAGAAAATTAATATTTCCCTCTAACTTAAACTATAGTTACTTAGTTCTAGTTCAAAAATGTCAAAGACATACAAATTATAAAAGAAAAGTGAATATATTCCTTGAAGTCACTTTTTATACAGGCCAATAATATCTAGAATTTCTGAATGGTATGTGAGTAATTAAATCATTTATTAACGGTTAGAATTTAATGAAGAGAATATGAAACGTTCAAATTGAATTAGTTATAAGAGTTTGGATTCGGATGGCCCAGCAGACTAGTGAACTATAGATATTTATAAGAAAAACTAATTCAAGCATATTCGTTCTAGACCATAAGGTGAAAAATGGTATTAGTGTCCGAATATCAGGAGCATGGAATTCACAGCGTTCAGAAACACGAACTGTTATGTAATGTAAAGGGAATATTCAACTATCAACATAACTCAGATTACATTGAAATATAATATACAAAATGAATAAATGAACAGAAATACCCCATATTAGATATTTTTTTTTAAAAAGATTTATAATGTAATTTATATACAGACCTCTGTGAGTAATCTTGAAATAATCATCACACCATTTTTTAAACCTTGGATAGTAACTTTTGTCATGTTTATCACAAGCAGCTTTCAAAGTAGAATGGAAATGTTTTGCATCTTCTTGATTGAGATAATATGGTGTCAAATCAGTTCCACCACCAAACCACCACTGTAAATCAAACATTCAAAAAAGTTTAATAAACTAATCTAAAATTAAAAAAAAGAATAAGATAAAAAAAAAACACTTACATGTTTCTTCCCTGAAGAATCTGTTACTTCAAAATATCTGTAGTTAAAGTGAATAGTGGGAGCCATAGGATTTCTAGGATGAATTACAGAACTTACACCAGCTGCAAAAAATGGCAAAGGTCCTGATCCAACAAATTCTCTTCCCCTAACATATTTCAGGTACTATTAAGATTTAGAAAAATCAGTAACACAATCAATAGAATATATATTTATATCCAAGTTTTTTATAATTAAAAGGGTCTTAATCCTCACCCTTCTTCTAATAGAGACAGAAAACAGAATAAAAACTGGCATCAAGTTTAATAAAATTTCAACAATTATAAAGCAGAGAAATGCTTATGAAAATTGAATCTAATCTAAGAGTATGATGTATGATATATGGAAGGTTTTATCAACATGATTTTCAGACAACTACAAAGCTTAGTAAATTAGTATTTTTCAATTTTGTCCATTCTTTTTCATGAAGATAACATTTTTTGGGATTTACCTAGATTTCATTTGTTGTATAGCACCAGCAGGCAAATTCCCTGAGACGACAGATATGTTCACACCAGCTTTCTCAATAATGCGTCCATCTTGTAAAACACATGTAATTCCTCCTCCTCCTTCTTCTCTTAACCACCTGTCAACAACAAATTTAGTTTCTGGATCTTCTTCAGCTTCTAATGCTTTACAAAAGTCTTTCTGAAAAGGGAAGAAAATAGACATTATGCAAAAAATAGATAGTATAATAAATGATAACTTTGAATTTTCCAGCTCCTACCTGAATTTTCATAATCATTAATTCCATTTTGGTTTTCATATCTGATGGGTTCGCTTTCAATATTGCTGAATCAGTAATTGGCTCAGCCATAAAATTGTTTTTATCTATGCTTAAACTAGCCATTTCCGCATGCTTGATCACAGTTGAATAAGCAGCTAGGCCGGCACCGAAGCATGCACCAACAATCCTAAAAATAATTTTTTATCATAATAACATTGACATTTACAAATATTGTAAAATCATTATTATTAATCTATACAATTGGGACAGCAATAGAGTAATAGTCTTTAGTTTTGATGCCCTCGAAATGATAGTGGTTTTGTTAACTGTAGCATTAGATAGGTTTATTAGCCAATATTAGAATAACAATGTTGGAGAACTTGAACATTGTAATATCACAGTTACTCAATTTGTAAGTTAACAAAAAAAAAAAAAATATTTATGTTGGACCTTAACATTATAACACTGAATAATATTAATATAGTACTACAAGTATATTAATATAGTTCAAGACCCATGATCATACAATAAATGGAATCTGAAAACAACTAAGTATTAATGAATTCATGGGTATAACTTTCCTTAATTTAGATCACAATTTCGACTTCTAAACACTTAGAAGGAATATAGAAAACTCTAACATGGTCCAGTCAAGTGACATCCAGGCATTATAGATGCCTCTATCTTCTTTCGGATACATTCAGACATTCTCGGAATTCCATTTATATTGTGATCATGAGATGTTGAACCCAACCAAAAGTGGAGGAACACTTGTAAAGGTGTATTAATATCTCTTTAGAAACTGGTAGATGAATGCTTCACAGTAACATTTTAACACACAAGTCGAAAGTAGATCGGAACTGAATCTAGTTTAAAGAACAAAACTCTAATTTATACTTTGATTTCAGTAAATTAATTACCCTTCCTGTTTCTGCCTTGTTAATAGTGCGTAGAAGCGTTCAAATTGATGAACAAAACATTTATTTAAATTTATAATATTAACTCCAGGCAAAGAAGAAATTAATTAGTATTTAATATTATTTTAATATAATTAAAAGTGAAAACACATCAATCATAGAAGTGACTTAATGATCTGTAAATTAAACTAATAAATTTCAATTGGGGAACTATTAATGGAAAAAGCATCTTCATTCAGAAATAGATTAATTCTGGATTAAATAAAAAAATTAATTTGAAGAAAATAACAGTTCATAAAATTTCAGTTTTTTCCTTGAATTGAGTGCTCTTTAAACAATTCTTATCAGTGATGAGTAGGAAGAATTTAAAGTAATAATGCAAATGAATAAGAATCCAGAGATGAATGAGACATACCATACTTGATTTCCCCCAAGCTTATTATTCTTGTTAAATGCTTGCTTACAGGTATATAAAAATCTAACAGTAGTCTTGACAATCATTTTTAAAAAGTGTACAATCAAGCTCAGCACATTTCAAATCACTTCATTATCACCATGAGGGACTGGTGCTGCCCATAGTGTAAAAGTAACGAAACAGTAGAGATAACCTTTTCGGTTGGCTTGTGCTACACTCTATGGCTGGTCCTCGAACCCTGTGGAACCCAGGGAAGAACACTGTCATTCCAGCTGTTAGCACGGGCGTGGAAAGTTATTGATCAAGTTTTTAGCTTCTCATTCAACCAGTTTTAATTATCATATTTAAGTTAAATCGAACCTTTATTATTATAGTTTTAAAGAGCTTTGGTATAACAGTTTCCGCCGGCTTTGAACCGATATTGGGTCGGTAGGGCTTAGGTGACGGACTTGCCTGCCCGGGAGACGATCTGCGGAGGGTACCTGTTGTTCCTGTTATGCCAAAGCATTGTCAGCAGTATCTGCGGGGACATTGCTGAGGGGGATATGCGAGGATTAATTTTTCTTCTTTAGATGGGCGTCATTAAATTGCTGAAATGAAAAAGTTTACATTCAAAGGTGTTTTGGATGGTTTACGATCCTCTGTTTCCCAACAGCCAAGAAATGACCAGGAGATCGTTGAAACATTAAAACCTGAACATTTTCAAGTAGCTAAGGTGAGTTTATTAAATTATTTAATTTAATATCTGTCAGAATGTTCTTGTCAGTTGCTGGCTTGAATGCATAGCTAGCCCTACTTTCTCATGTTTGATAACGTTTATCAATTTTGTATCCAGGGCGCCTTTTTACAACTAATGTATATTCTTTACTGATAAACGTTTGACGTTATTACTATGAGCGACCTATTGTTTTTAAAAACCTTAATGAATGTTTAAAGTTTATTTTGCATGACATTGTTTATTTTAAATTTATGTTTATTGTTCTGAATAATTATTGATTTTTTTTTTTGTTATCAATCTAAAATCAGTTTTTAGTAGATAAATGAAGATTATGAGATTTAAATGGCTTTTTACTTAGTAAAGATATTTCACTGATGTTGATAAGAAATCAGAGTGAATTAAGGATATTAAATTTGACATTTTTGATTGAAAGCAAGTAAGAGGCTGTTTATAAACAAAATTAAATACTATTGTTTACAATTTTTGTTATCAGATTTCATATTTTAAAAATAAGAATCTAAGGAATTTGTTATTTTTTATATTATAAATTAAATGTTTAGGCTTTTAAAGTAACATCATTTAACTGTGTTATTAAAAGTTGTGCATATTTTATTTAGTATTAAACCCAATTATTTTCCTCAATTTATTCATCCCTAAATATATTTTTTTTTATTAACAGATGTTACAATATTGGTATTTAGTAAGTATATATTTAAGTATTTTGAAGACTGATACCTTTGTGGTATAGAAACAGTCCAATATCAATATTAAATCAGTATTGATTTTGAAATCAAAGTGATTTCTGATTTATTTGTTATTCGGAAGAATATTATAATTTGTTTTCCATAAGATTGAACAGTACAAATATTTAAAAATCATGGTTAAAATTAAGTGCTCTTTACATATTGCATATATATATTTTTTTAAACATAGCTTTTAATATATTGACTAATAGATAATGGGTTGGCAGTCCTGCAATGATATTTAAGTGTGGTTGGGAAGTTTTTATCTAATTATTATAAATAAAAGAATTTCTTTCTGCTGAATTTTATTCACAAAGTTACCTCACTTTTTATCAGGTATGTTGAATTAGTAGCCTTTTGTAATAGTTAACTGTTATTCTTAACAATTAGATTTATTTATTTAGTGAATATTCATACTATTTTTCTGGAAAGTTTGGTATTCAGTTTAATATAATATTAATGTTTTAATTTATGTATAATTATTTGTTATAATACATTATGTTGATTAGGTGTATACTAAAATAAAATTTAATACAATGCAATTCTTGAATAGTCTGATTCTAATTGTTATAAAAATATTTCATATTAAATATTTATCTAAAATATTGCTCATATTTATTTACTGGGTTATTAACTTAACAGAAAAAGGCATATAATTATTTTATATAACAATTATTTTTCAAATTAATACTATAAAAAAATAAATTTCATTTGGTAAAATATTATAGTATTCTTATGTAGTAGAATGATTATATCGTTTTGCTGTTAAGCAATGCAAATAATTTCAGGATTCTTTTAAGAATAAATCTAAAATTCGCTGATATTTCTCTACTATCCTTATTATATTGTCTATTGTCACAATCATCATTGTAGATTCTTTATACTAAGATATTAAAAATTCAATCAAAACAATTAATATCAACTTAATAGTTTCCCATAGTTGTCGACAATGTTGGTTGAAAAATTAGTTATTATTCCGAATTAACATTTGAATTGTTAAGTTTAAGAAAATGAATTATACATTGGTAAAATTGAAGGCATGAACCTAAGCAACCTGCAAATTATTGATTTCTAAAAAAGTAATAAATAATTTCTATTATTTTTAATTATACTTATTTTTATATTATATTATTAAATAAAAGGTACGCCTGATGTAAAGCCTAACAGATAATAAATAATTTAGTGAGTGCACTAGCTGATCCAGGTTTTAATTTTGGGGGGGGATGGAGGCCTTCAGCTGGAAAGCTTTTTTTTTTTCATATATATAACGATAATTAATTTGGAAAAAAAAAAGAAAGAAACAAACTATCTATATAAATGGTGTTTAAAGTAATTCTTAAGTCCTATTAATTGTAATTAAACGAACAATCATACTTTAAGAGATAGTTTTTAATTTTTTTTCTCAATAAAACATGGTTATATTTTACCATTTTGGGAGGGGCTTCAGCCGGAAAGCCCCCCTCTCTCCCAGTAGATCCGCTTGTGAGTGACTGCGATGATAAACATCAATTCATCTCTAGCCAGCTCAAACCATAATTATCTGAAAGATAAAGGAAGATTATGAAAAATAATAATATGATAAGGATAAAGGAAACAGTGTTTCTTTGCGTTAGATTCGTAACTTGATAAACATTTATCTATTTCAACAATTAACTGAACTGAAATTTAGGTAATTCATGTTATCTTTAAAAATGTGTTTTACTTTTCACTTTATACTATACTCAACTTTATGATTTCGTATTTAAAGTAGGTCAAAAACGTCATATTATAATTATATCAGATTATCTTTTGCTATATACTATTTTTTATTTAATATGTATCGAAATCATACTTTAAAGTTCTCATTTATAAAAAATCCTGCCATATAAAATCTTTTGTATAAAATGCTATTTATAATCTTGTTTTTGTTTGATTTTAGTTCGTGTTGGAATGGATCGAAAATCAACCTATTTAAATTTTCATTTAGGACAGAATCGTGTCCCTTCTTCAACAAAACTTATCCTAGAATTATGTCAATAACAATCGAAATTATCCTAAGCTGCTGTTAAATATTAATGAAATTCATAACAGGCACTGTCGATATTAATAAATGTTCGAGTTCGAGTCGGGACTGGTCGGTTACAAAAATATTTTGTGCCAGAAACGTATTCTCTTAGACAAACTTTTATTAATTCTTAATTTTCAAATGCTTGAGGGAAAAACTCTGTGCTCAATGTGCAAATGAACGGGCTGAGTTCTAGAGAAATATATTTTTTCATGCTAATTTCAATTTTTTTGTCTCTGATAATCGAAATATAGTTGATTAAAATAAACAATAGATTAAATCTCTCAAGAACAAGAAATTTGAAGCCGATCGTCAAACATGGAGAAAGCAGTCTGAGAATTTGGGGCAGTAGTAATTATTGATGCAATACTTAATTTGAAATAGTATTTTAATGCATTGCACCATCATTTGCAAAATGAAATTGAGATTGAAAGCCAATATTTTTTTAACATAATAACTGCACGAAATACCTCTCTTAAATATTACAGAATGGTTTCTGAAATAATTGGAAAATTATAATATTAAGTGATGATTAAATCGACTTGAATGCTGGAAGAGAAATATAAAAATAATTTAGGGTGAAATAATTGAATAAAAGACATTAAATTTTGTTAACAAGAGACTACAGTCTAATATTAGTGCTAAAGATATACATGTGTGATATTCAGAAAAAAAATATGTAGGCGTTATACTTCAATCTTATCTGCAGTGAGGCAAGCGAAACTCCTGATAATAACTGAATGGAATGAGAATTGGAGAAGGAACCCCTCCAAACTTGCTCAGTTTAAACTAAATAATGCTAAATCGTGTACGAGTAACAGGAGGCGAAGAAAAGAGGAAATAATTCTGTACCGTCTCAGAATTGGTCGCTGCGAATTTTCGCACGGCTACTTTCTCCACGGTCGAGAATCATCTGCCGGCGTCAGGTTAGGTTCCCCTAGAATTTTGAACTTTATAAAAAACCTACTACCTAAATATTTCTTTGATCAAGGTATTTATTTTTTACCGTTTAAATAAATGGAATGATTCCCAAATTGTGTGAGAAACAACGCGTGGCGCGATTTCAAATAAAAACAGCATACGAATTCTATTATTTTTATCTATTTACTGTCATCTATGTTTTACGAATAATTTAATAAGCGATGCAATGATTGAATTCGAGGAATCCTCTTTCTGAAATATTTAAAGACTAAATTATAATTTTAAAAGTGTTTCCAATGATTATAAAATATAATAATAATAAAATACGGCGGGACCTTCACCTCTTACACAAATTTGATTTGATTTTCTTCCCTTCAGGCGGTAAGCTGTGTTCCTCTTGTATCATCAAAATGTTTGATGTTGTGCAGTGATGTTTGTGAAGCGGCTAAGGTAGGTTGAGTATAGTTAAACAGAAGCTCGTTGTCAAGTTCGTTAGCAACATCAGCGTAAACTAAAGGAATATTCGATGAGAAGGAATTAGTCGAGGGTGCGGTCAAAAAATAAAAAAAATTAAAATATATAAATAATTTTAATTTTTGCCGACGTAAAGGAATATTCACATCGGTAATTGTAACTTGCGGCTTGTCTCTAACAAACTTGCTTCTCACAAGTTCCCAAAGCTTGTCAAGTTCAAACAAATGATAATGCTGTTTATGATGTTGGCTAAATTAACTTTCGAAGTAATGGACATCGAACTTTAATTCTTGACCTTCCTTACAATGTAAAATATTTCAGCATCAATTAGGCCGTGGTGGCCAGGTGCGTTGAAGTAAAACCTTATGGATGTCCGAAACAGCAGCAAGCTTAGATTCTGGCATATCTATCTATAAAAAGTACGTTGATGGCACTTAGAGGGCCCGCGATCTGTGTCTCTACCTTCCAGTAAGTTAAGAACAGGTTAGTAACAAATAGGGCGATTCGCTCTTGCTGCACTAGTTAGGATTCAGAAAAAAGTTGATCACATATCGCTACTTCGTCGGTAGACTAAATAATTAGCAGTTATGTGATGTTTTTTCTGACCAACCTCCGGACTATCTCTTTGATTCATTATATGGTCAAAACTTATAATAGGAACCTATGTAGTTGCAATGAACATGTCCCAAAGACAACCCGAAAGAAATATATTGAAGAATATAATATATATTAATATTAATTAAACATTCAGTATCTGTCTCCAGAAGTTCGCCGAGTATTGATTCAGCTAACGCCACTCTCGTAGAAATTGTATC